AGCTGGCGGCCTCGTGGGGCGCAGCTCGAGCAAACCCTGTGGACAGCGAGGTGCGGGTGCTCAGCGGGCGGGAGAGGGTGACACTGAGGCAGACTTCACCGGGCAGAGTGTGAGCCGCTCGCCCAGTCACCGGAGGGCCGAGTGGACATTCAGCCCAGAGTCCAAGAACCAAGCGCTCAGGAACGCGCCTGTCCGCCCAGCCTGGGCCTCCGGGCCCAGCCAGGGCCTATGACCACTTCCTGCTGCCCGTCCCGGACAGATAAGGCCGGCCATCTCTGGAGGCCGGGAAGGCTGCGGCTGCGACTGCGGCTGCTCAACCTGTGGGGTGAGGGAGCTGGGGCCCCAGCAGCTGGGCTCTGGCCTGGAGCTCTCCAGACCCTCCCAGCACTGCCCGCGGGGAGGAGCCGGGCTTGGGGCGCCTGGGCCTGCTGGGAGGTCTTGGCTCAGCCCGCACCAGCCTGGGAGACGCTGGCCTGGGTCCCAGCTAGTCTTGGACACAGACAGCATCCTGGCCTGTGTGCTCAGTGGTTAGAACCTAGGCCCAAGGACAGAAGGGTCATGGTTTCGATTGGAATCTGGTCAGGGCATGTGTGGGAGGCAACCAGTCAACGTGTCACATCCATTTTTCTCTCCGCCTCCCCCTTTTCCTCCCCCCCCCCCCTTCCTGAAAAAGCAATGAAAAAAACACCCGCAGGCGAGGATTGAGAAAAGCACAGAGGGCCCCTTGGCCCGGAGCAGCCAGTCCTCCCAGCCCCAGGCAGTTCTTCCTGACCCGCATTCACCCTCTCCCGGCCCAGGCCCTGGGGGAGGGAGGGAGCCTGCCCTGGCCTGAGGCCCTGGCCCGAGGCCCCAGGCTGAGCAGCCGGGCGGAGGGAGGCCCCGCAGTGGAGGGTGGTCCGGGAGAGGGTGGGCCAGCTCCAGCTTCGAACCCCTTCCCCGCTGTGGGCAGGAGTCTCCTCTTGCCCGCATCCCCGTGCCTGTTGCTGCCCAAGTGACACCCTGGTCCTAAGACCACCTGGTCCCCTGCCCTGCCCTGTCCCCAGGCGTGGATGGGGCACCCTCCTGGACCAGGTGGGGGGAGCTGCAGGGGCGGCTTCAGCTTTCCTGGAAGGGCAGCCACCTCCTTCCGGCTGCCCTGTGTGATGGCTGGAGCCGTGGCAGCTGCCTGGGGACTGGGATGCCCTGCCACACCAGCCGGGGGCGGGGGGGGGGGGGGGAGGGGGGGGGAGCGCGGGCGCTGCCACTGGGGCCCCTCGGGCCTCCGAAGTCAGCCCCAACCTGGCCCGGCCGGGCCGGCGGGTTCCTGTCACTCCGCAGGCGGGTCCAAACAGACAGGCGTGTGGCTCAGTTGGACGAAGAAGCCAGAGGCTGGTGAGGGGCTCGGAACCAGGCCTCGCCCAGCCCACCCTGTCTGTCACTCTGTCCCAGAAGGCCGGGCCGTTCCCCCCCACACCCCAGGGACACGCCGAGCCCCGGGAGCCCGGGGCAGCTCCGCGGGCCTTGGACCCGCCACCCGCAGCGCCTCCAGCACCCCGCAACTCACAGGCGTCCGGCCGGGGATGGACTGCGGCCCGGGGTCCGGAGCTGGGCAGGCCTGGGCGGAGCTGAGCCTTGACCAGAAGAGAGGAGGTGAGGCCGCCCTGCGCCCCCAGCCCCCGTGGGTCAGCCCGAACCTGGGACCGGACAGCGCCTGGCCCGCCCCCGCCGCGTTCCGGGCCCAGGCGCCGCGCGGGCCGGGGCTCCGGAGGGAGGGGGCTGCCGCCGCCGAGGCGCCCGCACACCCCTTCCCGCCCCCCAACCCGGCCACCGAGGGGCTGCACCCGAGCTCCAGCTCACCGGCCGCGGGTCCGAGTGGCGAGGGGCGCGCGGGGCCGGGGGCGGGGCTTGGCGGCCGCGGGGATCCGGGGCCGGGGGCGGGGCCTGAGGGGCGGGGCTACCGGGCTGGGGGCGGGGCCGGAGGGTGGGGCTCCAGGGCCGGGGCGGGGCCGGGGCGGGGCTACCGGGGCGGGGGCGGAGCGGCGGGGGCGGGGGCGGGGCGGGAGTCCGGAGTTTGGAGCCAGACCCGGAGGTCGCGGCCGGGGGGATCTGGGGGCGGGGACGGGGGGCCTGGGGGCAGGGTGGGGCGGGGCCCGCGGGGTCCGGGGCCGGGCCGGCCGAGAGTTTGGGGCGGAACCGGAGATCCCGGCCCGGGGGACCTGGGGGGACCTGGGGGCGGGCCGTGCCGGGGCCGGGGCTGCCGGGCGCTGGGCCTCCAGACCAGGCGGCCGGGCGCCCCCAGGACCCGCAGGGCCGGGCCGGAGCGCCTCCCCCTGTGGCGTCTCCGACCCCGCGGAAGGGGACCCGGGAGCCGAGCTCGGGGCGGGCTCCGGAGCCCCGGGGGCGCCTGGGTCTGAACCCCGAGGCGAGGCCCGGTCTGGGGCTCCCTGGGCCTGCGGGCCGGGGTTGGCCATCCGGGCCTCTGGCTGCGGGTCCGAGGCGGGGCCAGGGCCAGGGCCGGGCAGGCGGAGCGCCGAGCAGAGCAACGCCGGGGCCTCCCGCCGCCGCCCGAGCTCGGCGCCCGGTCTGGGGGCCTCTGGACAGGCCTGCCCGCCCCGCGGACCGCCTCCCCCTCGACCGCCCCCGGACCGCCCGGGGGAGGGGGTGTGTCTGCGCCAAACCAACGCCAAGGACCAGAGTCCAGCCGGACTGGCCTCGGGAGGAGCAGTTATTCCTCAAGGTCCCTGGGCTCCGGGCCCAGGGGGGCGGGGGGCAGAGCGGGGCCGCGGGAGCGGGAGGAGGGAAGTGATGGACACGCACCGTCCACGGGGCACCGGCTCCGGCGGCAGGGACAGCGGAGGACTCGTGGCTGCCCTGGGTGTGGCCGGGCCCTGGGGTCTGGAGAAGCTACCTGACATTCCCAGGCGCGTTCTCTCCGATGCCACCCGCAATGCCAACGGCGGTGACCGGCTCAGGGGAGTCAGGACTGCCCTTGGCAGGGAAGGGTCTACAGGACGGGATGAACGGCCGCGAGCAGCTTCCCGTTACCAAGCTGTCACTCCTCTCCCTCCTGTGGGGCTGCGTTCCTCACTGTGTGAGGCCGCCACACGGGCCTCCCTGCGCTGCGCTGGCCGGTGTAGCTGTGGCCCCTTGTCGCCCACGGTGGGAGCAGAAGGTACCCCTCACCCAGTCACCTTCCTCCGGAGGGTGGCCCTAGCAAGACAGGGGCCCTGGCGGGGATCCCCCCCCCCCCCGGGCAGGAGCAGGGGAGGGACGGGGGTGCAGTTGGACAGTGGCCAGCCCAGGTCACCAGGGGGAAAGCCCCCTGTGCTAACCAAGGACAAGGGGGGGCTCGCCCCTGGGTGACCTCTCCTCCCCCAGCATCTCGCTGGGCCTGAGGGTGGGACCCCCTGACCTTCCTCCCTCCCGATGACTAAACGGAAGGGCCACGTGCTGACCTGACCGCTCAGGGGCGGCCTGCGTGGCGGCCTTGCAGAGTCAGACCTACAGTCCCTCAAAGGACGGTCCGACATTAAACTGTAATAAAGCAGTTACCATGGGCAGTCACCTGCTAGGCCAGCGTCTTCACTGACAAGGTCAACCTTTATCTCAACGGAGCCTGCCTGTCTTTTTGTATCTGTGACAACTAACACCCCTCGGAAATGTGGGTAACTTGTAACCTCCCTTTTTCTGGAGGCCCTGAGGCACAATCCAATGTGCTGGGGCTGGGACAGAGACTGCAGATTCCTTCATTATCATGTCCTTTGTTCCTGCACCCGCCTAGGTGTCCGTCCATCATTTCACTTTTTATCCAATCCCAGCGGTTTTCCTGCTTTGCTTCCTCCCGCCTCTGGTCCATCCCTAATGGATTTCCTGTGACCCACCTATGTCCCTCCTTTGATTGCGATGTGCAAATACAGATGGAACCGGCCTTTCTCCGGAGCTGGATCTTAATTCATTGAGATTGATATTTGTCGACAGTTTAGTTCAAATAAACTCACAGACGTTCTTTCCACGTTTGAATGATTTTATGTTAACAGCATCGGGGCCCAGAAAAGCAGCAGAACCAGACCAGCGGGCGGACAGCGGGTGCTGAGGGGCGGGCGTTCGGAGCGGCCCAGGGCGGGGCAGGCCCCTCCTCCCCTCGGAGCGGAATGCCTTCTCCTGCAGACCCGCCAGGGTCTGTCCGGTCCTTCCCTCCAGCCCGGTTCCCTAAGGGTGGGGTCTGCACCGGACGCCCTGGCCGGCCAGGAGAGGTCAGGAGGACCCGCTGCAGGGCAGGGCGTGCGGGGAGGGTCTGAGGGCGGGTGCTGGTGAAGGGTCTCCAGGCTCGCTCTCCCCGTCCCTTCCTTGGCCGAACGGCCCTTCCACCTGGCCGCTGTCCGTGCTCTGCTCCTGTCTGTCCGTCTGTCTGTCCCACTGCCGCCCCGGTGGAGACCTGCACCCTGAAAGCTGCGACCTTCCCCAGGACCCCCCCTGACCCCATGAACCCTCAGGAGGACCCCGTGAGCCCCCTCCCAGCACCCCGCCCCCCTCCCCCGCCCCCCGCCTTTCCCTTCCCTCCTCCCACCGGCGCTGGTTTTCCATCAGCTCCGCACCCCGAGCCCCCGCCTCCCTGCGCCTCCACAGCGTGTTCCTGCGCCCACGTCTCACGGGGCCCTGCCTCTCTGCCCCGGCGGGTGTTCTCGTGGTTTGCATCTGGGCTCTGACGTCTTTCCCTGCAGACCCCGCCCGGGCAGACACCCACCCCCACCCGCGGGTCAGGCTCCCGGCGCCGTTCCCACGGGGGGGGGGGGGCGGGGAGCCTGAAGGGCTGGGGCCTCTGAGCACCAGAGGACCCTGTACCGTGTGGGTGTCCCCAGGGCCGTGCAGGCTGCTGTTTTGGACCGGGGCGGTGGGGGGGGGGGGGGGGCCGGGAAGGGGTTTGGATGGGGAAAGAGGGAGGGGTTTTTGGACGGGGGGGGGGGGTGTCGCCCAAGCCCAAGCCCCCTGGGAGCCCCTGGAGAACAGGGGAGCCCCGGCCAACAACAGAGTTTAATTCCAAACCGGAGCGGAGGGGGGGGGCACCCCGGCTCCGGCAGCGGCTACTTGGAGGCCACCTTCCGGGACTTGCTGGGCGAGGCGAACACGTCTGCCAGCAGCAGCGGCGGCACCTTGACGCCCTTGTGCCTCAGCTGGTTGTAGTAGTCCATCCGCTCCGCGATGATCCGCTGGGGGGGGGAGGGGAGGCGCTGCCAGGCCGCTCCCCCCAGGCACCCCGAGGGGCTGTCAGGCTGCTCCCCCCCCCCCCGGGCACCCCGAGGCGCTGCAGGCTGATCCCCGCCCAGGCACCCGGAGGGGCTGCCAGGCCGCTCCCCCCAGGCACCCTGAGGGGCTGTCAGGCTGCTCCCCCCCCCGGGCACCCCGAGGGGCTGCAGGCTGATCCCCGCCCAGGGCACCCCGAGGGGCTGCCAGGCCGCTCCCCCCCCCGGGCACCCCGAGGCGCTGCCAGGCCGCTCCCCCCCCCCGGGCACCCCGAGGGGCTGCCAGGCCGCTCCTCCCCCCCCCCGGGCACCCCGAGGGGCTGCCAGGCCGCTCCCCCCCCCCGGGCACCCCGAGGGGCTGCAGGCTGATCCCCGCCCAGGGCACCCCGAGGCGCTGCCAGGCCGCTCCTGCCCGCTCCGCACCCCCGCCCTCAGGATGGGGAGACAGCTTCTGTCTATTCGGAAGGAAAACCGTCCTCCTGGCTGCCCAGGGCAGGGGGGGGGGCGGCACCACGGGCTCCGCAGCGGCCATGGTGCTGGTCCCCCGGGATTTCCCTGGCACCTCAGGTCTGTCCCCCACGGAGGCCCGCCCCCACGGCCTCCTCTGGCCCCTGGACCAAGGAAAGGCTCCCTGGCCCTGGGTGGTGCTGACGGCCCTTCCCCTCCCCCCTCTCCCCTTCCTTCTCCCTCCCTCCCTCCCTCCCAGCCTCTCTCCCACCCTCCGTCCCTTCCCCTCCCACTCCCGCGCCCTCTTCCACCCCCTCCTCCTCTCCTCTGTCCCTCCTGTCCTCTCCCCTCCCCCTCCCTCTTCCCTCCCTGGCAGGAGCCCATTGACCGGCGCCCCCACCCCCATCACCGGGGGGAGGAGCCAGGCCTCCGGGAAATGTGGGTGCCAGGAGGCAGAGGGTGCCCCTCCCAGAGCTGAGCGGGGGCTCTTCCCATCTGGCCCTGCACCTGAGGGAGGCGCACTCCCTCCGGGGGGAAGGGGGCGCCCAGTGACCCTCCTCAGCCCCTCCGAGCAGCCAGGTGGGCGGTGAGGCCCCGAGTCCCAGCCCCGCAGGGGTGGCCGGGGCCCAAGCCATGGAAGGGGGTCCGGGCAGGGCCCTGGCTCAGCAGGTGAGACCCCTGAGGTGCTGAGCCGGTGTGGCCTGGCGGCTCCTGCTTCCTTAGCTCCAGGCCCGCACGGGCCCTGCCCTGTGCCCTGAGGGCTTGCTGCCAGCTCCCAGCAGCCGGCATGGGGCTCAGGGCACCAGCCACCCCGGAGACCCAGTTCCTTCTGCCTGCCCGGCCCAGGACAGAGACCCCGCAGGGACCAGAGGGCGCCCAGCGCCCGGCCGGCTCGCCCTCCGCCCGCGGCCGCTCTGCCCACCTGCAAGGCGTCCAGGATGTCGTTGTCCGAGATCTCGGAGGACATGAACTTGAAGCCGGGGGTGCTGAAGGCCGCCTGGATGATCTTGTTTCTCAGCCTCTCGAGCTGGTGGGCGAAGGGACAGCGGCCCGGCCTCAGGGGGGCGGTGCCCGTCGGGGGAGGGGCCACCCCTCTGGTCGGGCGGACAGAGGCCGGCCGCCCCCTTCCCCGAGGGACGGCGTCACCTGTGAGTCCCGGGTCCGAGCCCAGGCCTGGGGGGCCTCATGCAAGGGCCCTCTGCCTCCCAGCTGTGTGTCTGCTGGTTCATCCTCCCCCGGGTATTTTAAGATATATTTTATCCATTGTTTACAGAGAGGAAGGGAGAGGGACAGAGAGTTAGAAACATGGATGAGAGAAACATCAGCCAGCTGCCTCCTGCACACCCCCCACCAGGGATGTGCCCGCAACCAAGGTGCATGCCCTTAACCGGAATCGGACCCTGCACCCTTTAGTTCCCAGGCCGACTTTTTTTTTTTTTTTTTTTTTTTTTTTTTAAGAAAGGGATCCCGCCAAAGCCAGTTTGGCTCAGTGGTAGAGAGTCGGTCTGCGGACTGAAAGGTCCCAGGTTCGATTCCGGTCAAGGGCATGTACATTGGTTGCGGGCACATCCCCAGTGGGGGATGTGCAGGAGGCAGCTGGTCGATGTTTCTCTCTCATCAATGTTTCTAGCTCTCTATCTCTCTCCCTTCCTCTCTGTAAAAAATTAATAAAATATGTTTTAAAAAAAAAAACATTTACTTTAAAAAAATAAAATAAAATACCCGAAACCGGTTGGCTCAGTGATAGGGCGTCAGTCTGCAGACTGAAGGGTCCCGGGTTCGGTTCCGGTCAAGGGCATGAACATTAGTTGCGGGCACATCCCCGATAGGGGGTGTGCAAGAGGCAGCTGGTCGATGTTTCTCTCTCATCGACACTTCTAGCTCTCTATCTCTCTCCCTTCCTCCCTGTAAAAAACCAATAAAATATATTTTAAAAATAAATAATAAAATAAAATAAAGGGATCCCTTTAAAATTAATATATATATATAATTGATTTCAGAGAGGAAGGGAGGAGAAAGAAACATCAGTGATGAGAGAGAATTATTGATTTGCTGCCTCCTGCACAATCCCCAGTATTGAGCCTGCAATCCGGGCCTGTGCCCAGACCAAGATTGAATCTGGGACCCTTCAGCCCACAGGCCGATGCTCTATCCACTGAGCCAACCAGCTCCCACTGCCTCACCAACTTTTTTAGTTGAAAAAGCAAAACCTGCACCGGATTAAGAAAATAGAATTAGCCCCACTGATGGGGCTCAGTGGCTGAGCGCCGACCTCTGACCCAGGGGGTCCGGGTTCGGTTTCTGGTCAGGGCACAGGCCCAGTTGCAGGCTTGGTCCCCAGTGCGGGGTGTGCTGAAGGCAGCCAATCAGTGACACTCTCTCATCATTGATGTTTCTCTCTCCCTTCCTCTCTGACATCAATAAATTTATATTTATACCGTATTTTCCGGCGTATAAGACGACTTTTGAAATTGAAAAACAGCCTGCTCAGATTGGCCAGAGTCAGAAAGGCGGTCTATTTAAAAAAGAACTGGTGTTGCCTCGGAAGTGGGGGGTAGTCTTGTACAGTGAATATAGGCCTAAGCCCATGTTTTAACTGTAAAATTGGGGGGTCGTCTTATACGCCGGAAAATACGGTAAATAAATAAAAATTCATAGAACTGGGAAGGGCCCCCAAGGGAGCCCTCCCTCCCCCGCACTGTGGACACCAGGAAAGCCTGGGGCAGGGCCTGGAGCTGGGGCGGGGGGCGGGCGGGGCACGTACCCGGGACTGCGCGCTCTCCAGCGCCACCCGGACCTGCTGCTCTGCCTGCTGCGCCAGCTCGATCTTGCCCTGTGCCTGGTCCTGCAGCTGCCGGCGCCGCTCCAGGTGGTTCTGGCACTGGCCCACCTGCGCCTGCAGCTGGCACACCTTGGCCTCGGCCCCCGAGATGGCGTGGTCCCGCGTGGCCAGCTCCTGCTCCAGCTCCCACACTCGCTGGGGGCGGGGCGGGGGCACCAAGGAGTCGGCCCGGCCCCCGGGTCCCCACCCTCCTCCCAAGACAATCCAGACCAAGTGATGGCGAGGGGGGGGGGCGTTGTGCGCCCCTGAGCTTGTCCAGTGGGGTGCTGCCTGGAGGAGCGGCCCGGCCCCCGAGCCCCCCCCCCCCCCCCGCGGTCACCTGTCGCAGGAGGAGGTTGTCCCTCTCGATGAGCCCCATCACCTCCTTCTGCTTCTTCTCCTCCCGGAGGTTGGAGAACTGAAGGGGGTGGGGGTGGCTCAGGGGCTCCGGGCGGAGGTGGCGGAAGGAACCCCACTTATGGCTTCTCCCCCCCCCCCCCACGTCTCAGGAAGGTGAGAGCAGGGGTTTCTGATGAGGATGTGGGGGAGGAGGAGAGAGGATCCCAAACACGAAGGTGCTGGGAAGCGAACCCCAAAACACGGAAACCTGAGACCCCAGCAGGGAGAGCGGAGTCTGGGGAAGTGGGGGGGCCGGTTCCTCGTCTGGGAGCCAGCTGAGCTGCTGGTCGGAGAATCAGAGTCCAGACAGGCCCTCCCAGACCCCGCACCCCAGCTTTCCTCAGGGAGGGACTGCAGGGCCCTGGCGGTGTGGCTCAGTGGATAGAGTATCGGCCTGAGGACTGAGGGTTTGATTCCAGTCAAGGGCATGTGCCTGGGATTGTGGGCTCCATCCCAGGAGGGGGTGCGGGATTCTCTCTCCTCATGGATGTTTCTCTCTCTCTCTCCCTCCCTCCCTCTCCCTCCCTCTTGCAAGTGGATAAAACAGACATTTTTTAAATGACAGCAGGCTGCGCCCGGAGAAGAGAGAGGTGTGACACGCCCAGCCGCTGTAACAGGTTTATGAATCATGATTCCCTTTCACAAGCGCGGCTGTTTCGTTGCGCTCCCACCAGCTGCCCACAGGGGTCAGCACAGCCACTTGGGCTGTCGGGAGGGAACAGGCGGGGAGGACAGGGGCCTGGGCGATGCTGATGGGACGTGGGGAGGGATCCCTGAGACACGGGGTGGGGGTAGGTGGTCGCTGGGCGGGGGCGGGGGGGGCACTGGGGAGAGAGGCCGGGACATGCTGCTTCTGTAACAAGACGGGAACCTCTGGGTGAAAAACTCCGGCAGAACTCCACTCAAACCCTGAGCCAGGGTGACGCCCTGAGCCGGGCGGGGCCATCCCCTGAACCCCCCCCCCACTGGGCCAGGAGGTGCTGGAGGGAGGGCGGGGGCGGGCAGCGGCCAGGAGAAGGGTGGCCGCTGGGCCGGAGGGCCGGGGGCCCGGGAGAGTCCCATGGGCTCCCTCAGTCAGCCTCCCGGAGCTGGGGGGGGGGGGGGGGGGGCGGTGCAGGGTGAAGGAGGGGCAGGGGAGACGCACCTTGTCGGTCATGGCCTGGAGCTGCAGCTTCCGCTCCCGCAGCTCCTTCTGCAGCAGCTCGTGCTCCAAGTTCACCTTCTGCAGCTGCGACTCCAGGTGGTCCACTTGCCGTTGCAGAGAGATGCAGGCTCCTGGGGGGACGGGGGGGGGGGGCAGAGAGATGGAGGCTCCTGGGGGGACGGGGGGAGCAGAGAGATGCAGGCTCCTGGGGGGACGGGGGGCAGGAGGGGCAGAGAGATGCAGGCTCCTGGGGGGACGGGGGGCAGGAGGGGCAGAGAGATGGAGGCTCCTGGGGTGATGGGGGGGGGGCAGAGAGAGGGAGGCTCCTGGGGGGACGGGGGGGGGGAGGGTCAGAGAGATGGAGGCTCCTGGGGGGGGGGGGGGGGGCGTGCACACAGGAGGGGCCGGGGTCACTGGGTCAAGCTCCCCACTGATCCGGGCGTCCAACTGCCCACTCCGACCCGCCCTTCCCCGCCAGGCTCCCGGCTCAGGGCTCCCGGCTCAGGAGGATGGCCCAGCCCATCCTGCCTACGGGTGGGGGTGAGGGTTGAGGGTGGGGGGGTGGGGGGTTGGCGGTGGGGGTGGGTGGGGGGGGTAGTTGGGGTGGGGTGGGGGGTGGGGGTGGCGGTGGGGGTGATGCTGGGGATGAGGGTGAGTGTGTGGGATGGGGTGATGGTGGAGTGGGTGTGAGGGTAGGGTGGGGGTGAGGGTTGGGTGGGGGTGAGTGGGGGTGGGGGGGTGAGGGTCGTGTGCGGTGGGGGTGGGGGTGGGGGTGGGGGTGGGGAGGGATGGGGTGGGGTGATGAGGGGGTGAGTGGTGGGTGGGGTGGGGTGGGGGTGAGGGTGGGGGGGGTGGGGGAGGGGGTGGGGATTAGGGTGGGGGGTGGGGGTAGGGGTGAGGGTGGAGTGGGGGTGACGGTGGGGGTGGGGGTGGGGGTGAGGTTGGGGATGACGGTGGGGGTGGGGGTGGGGGTGGAGTGGGGGTGAGGGTGGGGGGTGGGGATGAGGGTGGGGGTGGGGGTGGCGGTGGGGGTGATGATGGGGATGAGGGTGAGTGTGGGGGATGGGGGTGAGGGTGGAGTAGGGGTGGGGGTGAGGGTGGGGGTGGGGGTGGAGTGGGGGTGAGGGTAGGGGTGGGGGTGAGGGTGGGGGTTGGGCGTGAGGGTGCGTGGGTGTGAGGGTAGGGGTGGGGGGTGAGGTTGGGGGTGGGGGTGGGGGGTGGAGTGGGGCGTGAGGGTGAGGGTGGGGGCGGGGGCGGAGGTGAGGGTGGGAGTGAGGCTGGGCGGGGGTGGGAGGGTGCGGGATGGAGATGAGGGTGGGGGTTGGGTGGAGGCGGGGGTGGGGATGAGGGTGGGGGTTGGGTGAGGCGGGGGTGGGGATGAGGGTCGGGGTTGGGGTGGGGGGGGGGGTAGGGGTGAGGGTGGGGGTTGGGTGGGGGTGGAGTGGGGGTGAGGGTGAGGGTGGGGGTGGGGGTGAGGGTGGAGTGGGTGTGAGGGTAGGGGTGGGGGTGAGGGTGGGGGTTGGGGTGGAGGTGAGGGTGGGGGTTGGGGTGGGGGCGGGGGTGGGGATGAGGGTGGGGTTGGGGTGGGGGCCGGGGTGGGTTTGGGGGGCAGGAGGGCAGGACGTCCGCCCAGGCGGGGCCGCCCGCCGCGCCCACCTGTGGCCAGGCTGTATCTGGTCCGGGCCACGCCGAGCTCCAGCTGGAACTCCTGGATCACCTGCTCGTACTCCTCCAGCTGCGCCATCAGCTCCTCCTCGAAGGACTCGTCCCCGGAGCTGAACAGCTTGGGGCCGCCCCCCTGGTCCTGCGGCTCCTCCGGCTCCTCGTCCAGCTCCAGCTCCTGCGACTCCTCCTCCTCGCTCTCCCGGCCCTCTGCGCCCTCCGCCTCCTTCCTGCCCT